CCTGTTTTCAAAGAGTCTGCTTGCTGCTTTGTGTGCTTTGTGAAGGAGATTTGAATCCAAGACAGAACCAAAAAAAAAAAGCTACCATGGGTGAGTCAGTGCTATTGTTTTGTTTTATAGACGGAATTATCTCTTAGCTGTATTGTTTGCTGGAATCGGGGTTTGGTCATAAAATACAAAGTAAATAGCGAAATGAAGACAACACTGAGTTGCTTTGTGTCTGCTTCAAGTGCTGTTAATTTGATAGGTATTTTAAGTTGACATTCTCTCCTCTATCCACTCACCCCAACCGGTCGAGGCAGAAGGCCGCCCACCAAGAGCCGGGGTCTGTCGGAGGTTTCTTCCGTTAAAGGGAGTTTTTCCTCCCCACTGTCGCCAAGTGCTTGCTCAAGGGGGATTTGTTGGGTTTTCCCTATGTAATAATATTGATAACAGTAAGGTCTAGACCTTAGTTTGTAAAGTGTCCTGAGATGACTTTTGTTGTGATTTTGCGCTATACAAATAAAATTTGATTTATTTGATTTGATACACTATAAATCACCTCTTTGATGTCCATGGTTATCTTCAGGGGTACCCAGCACTCCATACAATTATCAACTTAAATGGTTGTGCTTAAAAACAGTTTTGCATTTTGTAAAATACTTTGTTATATTCTGTTTGCGTGCAGACGCAAATAAAAAAGAAATAAAAGATACATTTGAAACTTTCTATGATAACATGACTAGGCTGGATATTCTAACACGAGCACAGACGTTTGGTAGTCATATTTTAGATGTGAAATACGTATATAAGTCATTTAGACACACAATTAGTATCTGACTGCAAAAACCTCAAATTCGCTTTTTTTTCCTCGTTATCAAAAACACCTGGCATCAAACGATAAGCCAAAACCGCTCAACACAATGTCCACTTACTGCGAACTGAAGCTTGCACCACATCGTGCATCGTTGCATTTTCTTGCTCACTTTTCAATCTGATTGTATACAAAGCAGTCATGGCCTTTCTAGCTGCAGTTTTTGATTTAAAGCATGCCTCTCACAAGGATGTGCAAAACTTCCAGCACAAGTGAAGGCACCTTTTGCGTCAGGTGAACCGCGTGACTTTGCATTTAGTACGCTGCCGCCATCTCGTGGGAACTTGTCTTATTACAGCACACCTTTGTCGTATCCGTCCAGTTTGGACCTAGCAGGTAGCCGTAGGAAGGAGGAAGCGTCGCCCTAGCAACATACGGAGTTTGCGTTAACGTTAATAAAGTGTGCCAGGATTCTTCTAAACTGAATGAAACAACCACTCCTTTAAATTTTAATTTACCAGCTAAGTGAAGCGCTGATGGCCACAAACAACCCGTCAATGTTTCTTCTCACAGTAAACGGACAAATTGAGGGAGCGAACGTGAGTGGTGCTTCTGAGATTTAGCCTAGCCGCTAATTTCAATTAGCATTAGCAACTCTCGTAGCATTTTACAGGTAGGAAACTAATGTCTTGCTGTTTGCCGTTGTATTTTAGTTTCCAGAGTTTGACAACCTGTACTGCAAATACTGTTTTGTCTACGGTCACGACTGGGTTCCCTCGTCGGTGAGTAGCTGGCGGATGAAGAATATTTCTTTTATCAAAGTGTGTGTCAGTATTGAGGCACTAAAGTCCAAGACGCATTTAAGTGTTGTAAGTTTGGTTAATCGATGATTTGCTGAGGTTGTCTATCAAGTAAAAATGTAGCTTATTCCCAAATGAGAAATTGTGACGTTTTTCTGTCCTTGTAAATGAATAAATTTGGGTATTGGTCTGTTGGTAAGACCAAAGCAACCTGAAGATGTCAGCTTGGGCTCTCGGTGTTTGTGGTGAACATCAGTCAGTTTCTTACATTTACTTACGTTTTGTTATAAAATTGCAGGGAATGTTTTTAAGGTGCAGTCACGGTGCTGTTGTTCTGTTATTGTTAGCTCTGATGTAAAGAAGCTATTAATCATATTATCATAATCATTCCCAAGGAACACATTTTATGGTATTCAGTGAATGTGTAACATGCAGCCTTTACAAAAGAAAGTTAAAATGGCATCTGGTTATCATCTAACTAACTGGTCTTTGTGTCTGTCTGTTTCTCTGTAGGGGCTGGAGGAAGGCATCACTCAAATAACCTGTAAAGGCATTCAGTCATCACACAAATTAATATGGAACTTCCCACTGGAAACAACATTTAAGAGCACAAACCCATCTGGATGTGAGCATTACACATCACACACACACACACACACACAGGCATACAAACCACACATGGTTGTTAGTTGTTGCCTTCATTTACACATGAATAGATAGAAGTCACTGAAGTATGACTGATACAGAGTACTACATCAGATTCTCCTCTTCATTTCCAGGGCCTCAGCTTGTGATGAGTGTTTATGGTCCAGATGCATTTGGCAACGACGTCATCCGGGGCTACGGCGCAACGCACATCCCCTTCACACCTGGACAGTCAGTATTACCTTCATTGACTTCTTTTTTTTTTTTTTTAACACCTACCCACGGCAGCATTTTCAGTAGTACTAATACTTGTTTTCAATGATTAGTTCACATCCTTGCCTGAAGCATGTGGCTATTAATTGTTTCCCCTCAAAAGAACTAAAATTGAACTTAGTGAGGAACTGTGTGATTTTTTTTTTTGTGTGTGTGTGTTAATTTTCTGTAATTTGTTCTTATTTCCCAGACACACACGAACCATCCCCATGTTTGTTCCTGAGCCCTCATGGAGGCTTCAGAAATTCACCAGGTGAGATGTGTGACCAGTCCTGTATGAGTTCAGTTCTCCCTCAGCAGCTGTGACGCTATGCCTGATGGGGCCAGTCTGAGTGTTGTCAAATATTTACTGCTCATCTTTGTGTGTTTGTGTCTTATTGAAGATAAAGCCTTCTGTGGTGAGAATACTCCCTATCAGTAGGTGTTGTTTGCCAGCTGCATTTACCAGTGCATGGAAGGACACGTGCAAATGTTTTTTGTTTTTTTTCCTTTTTTTAAGCTGGTTGTTGGGACGGCGGCCCGAGTACACAGACCCTAAAGTAGTGGCCCAGGGTGAAGGCAGAGAAGGTGTGTGTGCTTTTTTTCTTGGTAATTTATAACAGTAATGTGTGGCAATGACATCAAAGCACAGCGAACTCCTTGAACTAGCTGTTTCTGAGACGAGTCACTTAGAAGTGGTTTAATTTTAAGCTAACGACAACAACAGACCTGCATCCACTGGTGGTCTGCAGGCAGGGACGCACTGTTCTCTGCAATAAATAGATGTGGACAAGTGGATTTGAAGATAATTTGAAGTACTTCAATTCCCATTTAATTCTAATAGTACATTTTCAGTTAATTTATGCATTAACAGGCTTTTAATTACTGCACATAGTATCTGTTATGCAATAGAACAGATCTACAAACAATACAGTATCCTATAGTCCTATACTGTATGCTTCTCAGTTTTGAAAATAGTAGTTGCCTGGTATTTTACAGTGCGATATGTATCCTGATTATATTATTCGTGTTGCAGTGACTCGTGTTCGTTCCCAAGGTTTCGTCACCGTCTCCTTTCACATCATGACCAAAGACATGAAGAAGCTGGGCTACGACACAGGGCCGTCAGGTCCTGCAAACACACAGTCTGCCACATCCAGCTGGTCGACAGAAGGACAGCCATACAACATGTAATGACAAAAGACTGTTTTATAGACAACTAACTGGTGGGACTTCTTTTTTGCCCTCACAGATGCTTGGGCTCTACCAAAATAGAAGCACAACACTCAGGTTAGACTGTTTACACAACGCAAGTGGCAAGAATGCAAGGGAAACCTGTCTAATACTCAGTGTTTTATAGTAAAAATGTCACATTATTTGAATGAAACTTTTATTTGTTGTATTCAAGTATGAATATGAATAGTTAGTTTACTTAAAATGAACAGGACTACTTCAAATGATCACTAGCTGTTTGGACTCGTTCTTTAGGTAAAGTCTTGTGAAAACATCAGTTTAAACTCATGTTTAGGTAAAAAAAAAAACCAATACAAGGGGACAAACACTGAGATTACAGAGCTGAAGTGATACACACTTTATTTGAATGCAGCTACAGTTGTTGTCATCCAACATGGTGCGGCCTGCTGCGTTCATTTGTTTAGATGCAGTTAAAATGCCATAGTGACTTTTCCTACAAAAACCCATTACACAGAACAATAAGGTATACAGAAGAACAGTATGTTACAATAGTACAAATGATAAATTATATTATACAGTTATAATGCCAACAGGTTGAGCACATATCTGATAAAAAAAAAAGCAGCCTGCTCCCAGTACGAGAAGGGTAAATAGACATACATGGAAAGAAATAAACGGGCTTTTTATGAATATACAGACGGTCCATAAGATCAGTTAGTTCTTTTGAATACATAGGAACACACAGGCCACATTTTCACTGCACCACAGTCATGAGTTAAACTGCTGCAAGGTGTCAAGAAAGTGTACATCTGCAGTGTCCTCCGTCTGTCTGGGAGTGCTGAATCCGTTCAAGACAGAATGTTGTCTGTCTCTTCAATGCATCGATAACGCAACCTTCCACTTCTGCTGGAGTAAAGTTAAAGGTCAGGCTGCAGTGAAATCGAGGCCAGTGAGAAAGTGACACATCTTAACTAGAATATCATTTAGCACTTCAATAAACATGAGTTCATTAGCAAATCTAACTTTGCAAAACACATGAAGCGTTAAATCTTTTTTCTTTAACTTTTCTCATTTTGCATACGTTTAGTTGAGATTAAAAATATTTGCTGGTCTGCAGGTTAAGTGTCGCATCCATTCATGTAGGACCCGAAGCATAAAAATCATCCCCACCCTCGGCATCATCAAAATCATACATACAGTTGCAGCTGCCCCCTCTTTTGCCTGAGAGAAATGAAGGTCTGTATTTAGTGGAGATTTCAAGGGACTCGCGGTGTAGCTATTGTGCCGCAGTCGACCGGGAGAGGGCGCCAACTCACACAAAAGGAGAAAAGGAACACCTTTTCTATAGCATCTACATTGGCAGTGATATTAACATAAATGAAGAGAACAGAGCACAGTGACCCCAAGAGAAGAAGGGTCTATACACTAGTCGCAATTCACCTTTAGCTGTTATTTCATCAACCCACGTTTGTCAGCATATAAAGGAGCAAGATGCTCAGCCTGCAATCTGTAAATGTGCTGACATTCAGCCAAGAATGACACTTTCTTACACAAACTCAAGAAAAAAAAAAAGCTCTGAAAATTAATAAGTATAACAACAGAGTTTCTGCAATCATGAACATCCAAAAACAGAAAAATATCTGTGACATGTAATCCTACTGTTCAAACTACTCACGGCATGCTTAGAAATCAGTCACTCTGACTTTGGTAACAGTTGTGCTTCTAAAATTAAAAGAAATACACAACCTTCCCACAGGGTGAAACAACTAGAGTGACAGAAAAAGAAAGAAAGATGATACTGTGTTATAGAAGATGATACATTGCTTAGCTAGTACACAGCTCCAACACAAAGAAAGGCTTGGCTATGGATTTACATCTAATGAGTAAATAAAAGTAACTAACAAAATTAACAACCACTTGTTTACATGACATGTCTGCGCTGCTTCAGAACTCCCTGTACTATCAACACAATGATCCTGGAACAACCCTGTGTGAGTGTGTGTGTCCACCTTGTAACGTTCTTCTCAAAAGATTAGCCACAGTAAATCCAAACAGAGGTAAACTCTCTTCTCGATGCCAAGTGGCTGACGTGCCCTTTAAACCCGGAGCTTGCTTTTGTCGCAACCGTATCATCATAGTAACACTCCCTGATGCACATACACACACACAAACACACACACACACACGCTCTCTCTCTCTCTCTCTCTTAAGGCTGCAGAGGCCTGCATTGTGCCTTGCTTTGACCTGCATTTCAGAAACTAACTTGAGCAAATTCTGTTACCACTTAACAGAACCTCAAATGGTAAAACTTGCGCATTAAAATACATTTGAAAGCTAAACATTTCTGCCATGCAAACTACATGCACACAACCCACCCTCTTCCCTTTGACCCTAAAAACCAACTAAATAGAAAAACTGTCCCATGATGCCTCACTGCATCCATATGTTCAGAGAGCAAAATACTGATAGCATCACAGTTCATGTCTTTTTTCTCTAAACACACACTGGAGGGGGGATTCACTCACAAACATTAATAACATGTAGCTGTTAGTATCTGGGCATTAACAGTACACCAGCGCATGAGTGTGTACACACACGCAAACAAATCATGTCTACGCATCTTTTCAACCCCTCAGACAAGGGGTTCATCTCCTTTGATAAGTGTTTGTTGTTAATCCAGTGAGTCCTGGACGTCAAAGTTCATGTGGAAGGTCAGGAAAAGGTAACCGGTGACAGGAAATGACCGGACGAGAGTTGTGACTGAGCGGTACCGAGAGCTGAGGCAGCGTGTGTCGTCTCGGCCTTTTTCACAGCTAGCCTCCCTCCCTAAGCTAAGGTGTAGTGGTGAGCCCAACAGTCGCAGAAAGAAAATAAAAGCAAAAAATTGTGCAAAATCCCTGCTTAGTAACACACACATACACACAGAGTATAAACATCTGACCATCTCTCATCCAGTGTGCGTAGGTAAAACCCACTGGAATATACACAGTGTAAAAGTACTGAGATGTGCGCTCTCACACACACACACTCGCCAGCTGACAGGGCTTATAAAAGATTAGTTCTAGTGAAGAGAGAAAATCCTGGCATTAGTAGAGTCAGACTCTGGTGTCTCTCCACCACAGAAGAAGAGAAGAGCAGTCCTAAGTGAAGAAGGAAGAGGAGGCGAGTAAAGGAGCAGGACAGGGAGGTGAGACTGGGCCCTGTCCTGCCTCTGTGAAGAAACTAAGTACCTCTGCTACTCTGTAAGTCTGGAGACAGATGCCAGCTATTTGTGGTTATCAACATCATCATCAGATCAGTATGAACAACACAGGACTAGGCAGCTTGGAGCACAGAGACAGAGAGAGGTAAAAGGTGTGGTAAAACAGGGGGAGGCTGGGCTGGGACTACAACCTGGGGAAGGGTTGGTTATAAAAGAATAAATGGGACAAGACATTTACTTGTTCATTATGAAGCTTCTTTATGAGCCAAAGTGGAAGAGAGAGACAGCATGGGGTGGCGGGGCAGGGGGTAACTCTAGGTCAAGTTCTCTGGCTGTCACCCCCTCACAAAAGGAAGGGGTTGGTCGTTCCAGTGGGCTGTGTCCCGGCCTGAGGGGGCATGCTCATCAGGGGCTGGGGCATGGACATGGAGGCCGAGATTCCTGCACTTGTCCCCACACCTCCGACTGTGCCTACTCCCATTCCAGGCATTGAACGGCCCATAGGAGCCATCCCTGCCAGGGGGACCATGGTGATGGGCTGAGCAGGCAAGGAGGAGATGGCCGTGGGCTCTGCCATGGTGCCAAAGCCAGGGGGCATGGGGCTGACTCGCATTTGGTTGAGGGTTGGGGGAGCTGGTTGGCTCACCTGGAAGGGGTTGGCTTGGGTTGCTGGAGCAGAGCCACCTGAGTGAAGACAGACATGAGACAAAATGCAAATGTTAATGGGCACACAGATTCCATTACAGCATACAGTACATGCCGAGTTAGACCATACAACGCTAAACAGAAATCCACAAATACTGGGTTTAGAATAGATTAACTAGAACCTGCCTGGAGGTGGGTATTTAACCAACTGTTGTGTGCTTCCGTCATCATTCATCTCTTTCCACTGAGTTTACAGTGACCAGGGCAGGGTCAATGATTCAGCATTAAAGTGCGCAGATGGGTGTGTCCACGCCTCTAGGCTCATCATCACATGTTAACCAGTGTGTTGTCTTGCTTAAAAAAGCCTCTTACCTACATTTATGGATTAAAAACTATTTCAAAAACTGTCTTCTTGTCACCTCCCCACCTGTTGAAGCCAAGAACGGGTTGACGACTGGTGGGGGCTGAGCTGGTTTGGTCACCAGAGAGTCCAGATTGACCAGGGCAGCATTGGGACCCAAGAAGGACTCTGGAGTCTTTCTAGTTGGGTTCATGGCGAAAGAAGCGGATGTGGAGGTGGGCAGGGGATCAAAGATGTCGAGGCTGCTGCTGCTAGCAAGGCTGGCTTGGGAGGGGATAGAGGAAGCTATGCCCCCATCACCTGGGGAGCAAAGAGCAGAAACAATAAATGCATGTCACTGGCATAAGCATAACAAACTGCTGGAACATGATGCATACATGAGCAGCCATATTTTGAGATAAAAAGAGTGGACACATCTGTTTCAAATTATATTTCTGCCTCTTTCAGCTGCCATTTCTTCAGTTTCTGGAGGTCACCAACCGCCTTGTCCACATGAACATGAGCACAAACTATCACATTTACCGTGAAATAAAAATGACTTGATACAAAATAAAATGAACAGAAGATATTACTATGAGAGGACATCAGAGGCAGACAGCCTGGTCGTTTGGGGCTTTTTTTAAAGCAACAGTCAGACCAGACCACAGATTGGAAGACATTCATTAATACACTCAGACATGGACACACACACACACAACCCCACACACATGCAGCAAAGCCAAAAGAGGCTCACGATAAGACAGCAGAGTGTTAACACCCCATAAATCCAGTAGAAGAGCCGATTCAAAAAGTAACTATACAGAAGGTCGCCTCTTTAAGATCGGTGCCGTTTTTGTTCTCTACATACGTTTACATGGGGCGACAAGGCGGCTCAGTGCAGGAGCAGAGAAGTTTCCTTTTTGGGAAAAGTAACTTGGTACGTCTCTGTGTTCCTTCTCACCTCGTCCTTGGCTGTATCAGTGGTGTTCGTGTTGAGCTGCAGCAACAGTCTGAAACAAATGTCACCCTCCCACAGCCAGGGGCTGAAACACTCAGACCTGTGCCAAGCTGTTCACTGGAACCCTCTCACACACAAATGGGTTTAATTCTAAATTTTGGAACATTTATTGTTGGTTGCACCAGGCAAGATTTAAAAGGCATGACTGCAGATTTCAAAGTGATTCCATAAGCTGAGTGACCCAGGTCTAATGTGTTTACAGTAGCAAACACAAATAAGCGGCATCAGATTACACCATGGTGACATGGGACCAGACCTGAGCAAAGCAGCTATTTTTCCACTGTTCAATATAATTACTGCAGCATTTGATCACATTTGCAGAGAAACATCATCAACAATGGTTCTACCACCGGCTTTGCTCTGGTCTGATGATGCTCACACACAAAGACAAGACATGAGAGCCTGTACCCTACAGAAACAATATCTGCAGACAGGCTTCTTTTCAGACACCGAGGAAAAACAACACAGACTCCGTGTCATTAGAAAGACGAAGACAAGGGTGAGTACCAGTGGGGACAGAGGAGGAGGAGCGCAGGCTGTCAAACTCTGAGAAGTCCTCTTTGGACGTACCATTAGATGACCTGAACATGTCAAAGCTACCTGAAAGGGGACAAGCACACACACACACACACACACACAAAATGACAAACATATAATAGATACAGAGACAAGTGGAAACAGAAAACAAAAGTATGAATGAGTATGGATGTTTTGGTAAACTAACAGACAAACAATAGCCAAGTGAAAGCACGCAGATGTGCATGAGCACATTTTACTGGGTGCATGAGCTGCTTTTGACACAGCTGTTGATTCTCTGAGACACTAGCTAGTCACTGATTAGATATCTTTTCATTTCTTCAAAGAGAGAGATGTCAAAGAGCCAAACAATGATAAATACTAAACACTTCTCCAAATATCTGTCACACTCATATACGCACGTCCCAGATAACATTAACTTATTAGACAGAGGGACAGCTGTGCTGGTGAAGAGCTACTACTGCCTATGAACAAAACTGATAAAAGCTCGTGTGTCACCTGTGTTAGAAGTCTTAGGGCGGGCGGCTGCAGAACTCCAGGGGTCAGAGGCAGGCATGGAGTTTGGTGCCCAGGGATCATTGCCCTTCATGGGTGGGACAGAAGGGGGAGTGCCCCATGGGTCCACTGGGGCAGCTGGCTTAGGGGAGGAACCTAGGGAAAGTGGGAGAGGATAAGTGTGTGTCGGGGGGACAGAACCAAGCAGCAGCAAGAGGAGAAAGGTAACATAAGATAAATAAAAGAAGTTTCAGGCTAGTTCTGATAGCAAGCATGTATGTGACCCAATATAAAACTACTGCTCAACCCTCCCCATTCACTTGAAAATGTACATCTGGTACTCCCCCTCTGTCTCCTTCCCCTCACTCCTTGCATTCACAGTTTCTTTCACTAACATCCTCCCCCCCTCCCCCCCGTCTCTGCGCAGTAATGCTGCTGGGCCAGTGGAGCAACATTCCTAGATAAGAGTCACAGTGCTAAGAGCTGCAGGTGGAGAGCAGAAACCATATACACACAGACTCTAAAAACAAATCCTTTGATATGCCCATTGAGTGTGTATACCATAGGGCTGCCAGGGGTCTGCTGATGCAGCAGCAGCCCTGGCCCCTGTGCCCCAGGGGTCAGCACTGGCACCGGGCTCTGGAACATCCATCAGATCCATCAAAGATGACTGTGGCTGGAAAGACACCGAGAAAACGGGTTACAAAGGCCAAGAGACTGGAGACAGGAAAGCAAGAGAAGGAAGGACGCAGACAGAAGAGTAAGAGTGAGGAATGGAAGGGTAAATACAGAGGGAACGGATGAGGAGAAAAATGTTTCAGCCATTTCCCTCTATAGTACAAACACTATTCAGACACACTGATAATGGTCATATCACTATGTACCAAGATACAACACGAGCCATCATCATGCAGCCATGATTCTTCAGACGTCCGTCAGCCAGCTATTCAGGCAGAATGATAACAAGCAAAATGGGCAGTCTGCTGCCAGTTAGTGGCTTCATTACTGCTACTGAAGGACAGCATGGTTATGTCTGTGTGTATTTTACCTCTTTCTTCTTCTTGACCACTTTTCCTGAGTCTGGGCCTTTCTTACTCTCCTCCAAAGCCATCTGTAGTCTCAGGTCATCCCCTCTGCGTAGGCGCTCTTCCTAATCACACACAGTGCAAAGATTTGTGCTGGTCATACAACAATAGCTTTAGTAGTGGTAAAAATCATTTGCATCCTGCTTCTCAGACTACTACCATTTTTCATTTCTTAGTGAGTAATTATACCAGATGAATATGCACAACGGCCATCAAAGTGCACCCACTTTTTTTTTTTTTATGTTCATACATGTGTGAAACTCAATGCTTTTTTTGAGGTTCAGGAATTAAGAGGAACGTAGCACATACCTGCTCTGCAGCCTCTCTGCTCATGGCCAGAGCCAGCTGGAGCTGTAGCTCCTCCTCTCCACTGGTCTGAGGTCTGGCTTGCTCCAGCTCTGAACCCGGATTGGGTGATGTTGCTAGGGGACACATACAGAACATATGTTAGCATCACTGCCACATGAGACTAGCTCACATAATTACACTGAAAAGCTGCGTCAGAAATGTTTTTGCCCTACTTATCCAAAGCCAACCACTGTTACAGTAAATACAATGGCAAATACTAATTAAGTGTGTGTGTGTGTGTGGGAGTGGAATTGGACGTCAGTGAGGGACAACAGGTCAAAAAATAAAAATAAGAGCCCACATGACACACAAGCCACTATCTGCCATTACAAAAGCCAAGAGTGTCATCATGTACGTTTCAGTTAGGAAACAGCAGTTTCTGTGGAAACCTTGGTGTAGGAGGTGATGACAAAACAATGACATCACTCCATCAGCCATTACAGCTCTTGATTGATCTATATATTGTCACTCCTTCGGTTTCATCACTTCTCAGCAGTCCAGCTTGGTGCAGTGTTGTCTGTGTGTGAATGTTGTGGGAGTACAATGTGGTTTGCAAATCAATTTTTTTCCTCAGCATCAATGTTTTGCTGGGGGCTTTGACCAGTCCCCTCAGACTTCCACACTGTTCTTGCTCCTCAGCTTTCTGTCTGCCTCATTTTCTTCTCTCCGTCTGTGGTTCAAACAACACCTGGCCAGCCACAACATGCTCTGCTGCTGATGTAAACATGTGCATGTGCACATGCACTCACACAAAACTCACTATAAAATAATGATCATGTATACAATATTACAGTATTATAATTATTCTAAATGCAAATGGTTAGAGGAAGACATCTAGGTGCAGAGAGAAAACAACAACAGACACAAACAAGATGTGGGGAAACAATGATGGTTAGTTTCACTGACATATTTAACTCTGAAACCTCACACTTTGACTAACATCCTCCTGCCCTGTCAAGATGTCAACAGGCACAAGATGTCAGATCAGCAGGGTTTTTTTAATAAACATAGCAAACATGTGGTATCAAATGTCTCCATGATGAGGACATGTTATATGTTCTTCTAACAGTAACAAATGCTTGGCCTGTCTGGAAATAGCTGAACTGCTGCCAGATTGAAATGTAATAATCTGGGCCTCATATAACAACATATAAAGCCTAGTGATCATTAGGAATCAGTATAACAGCCTACTGTCATAACAGCTCATCATTACAACCAAATAATAACATCATATTCTTAATAATCAATACATCTTCTTGGTCCACATCTCTTCTTCTCCCTCCTTGACCTATTGCTCACTTTTCCTTTAAATTACACATAAACCAAGAACTGCCTTCTTTCACCTGCGCAATATCACCAAAATCAGGTCCATGATCTCTAAGTGGTGCTGAAAAACTGGTCCATTCATTTGTTACCTCCAGGCTGGACTACTGTAACTCTTTACTATCAGGATGTCCCAATAGTTCCCTAAAAAGCCTCCAGTTAATCCAAAATGCTGCAGCCAGAGTACTGACAGGATCTAGCAAGAGAGATCATATCAAGCTCCTCTCCTGTGGAACCAACTCCCAGTCTCAGTTAGGGAGGCAGATGCCCTCTCTACCTTTAAGATTAGACTTTCCTTTTTTGATAAAGCTTATAGTTGGGGCTGGGCTCAGGTGACCCTGAACCTTCCCTTGGTTATTCTGCTATAGGGCTCCCTCCAACGATTCTCTGAGCTCCTCTCTCCGTGCATCTACAGTATATACCACCATTACGTGTCACTAACGGTGTCTCCTCTCTCCCGTAGTGTGTCCTCTCTCTCTCTCTCTCTGTACTTTTGTGCGAGTGGCCCTGGCTCTACGTTTCTGATGAGCAGTCACCAGCCACATCATCCTGACCAGCGTTGACTTTATTGTTGGGTTTGTTGCTTTTCTTCTTTTCTCTCTCCTCTATCCTCTCACCCCAACCAGTCGAGGCAGAAGGCCGCCCACCAAGAGCCGGAGTCTGTCAGAGGTTTCTTCTGATAAAGAGGGTTTTTCCTCCCCACTGTCACCAGGTGCTGCTCAGGGGGATTTGTGGCATTTTCCTCTATAATAATAAGGTCTAGTCCTGACTTTGTAAAGTGTCCTGAGATGACTCGTTATGATTTGGCACTATGCAAATAACCCAGAACTGAATCGAATATATCCCTGCAGAACATGCTGGAACGACAGTTACGTGTGAAGAACATCCAGCCATTCAAAAAAAGCACACGTCTCAGCAAGGCACTAAATGTGCAGCAGGCGGTCTGCTTCTAAACTGACAGACAAAATGCTGTCTCTCTTCTGTAGTCCCTGGTGTTCTTCCTTCTTATTTGTTATCCATGTATTATGTTCTCCCATCAAAAGGAATATTTTCTTTGAGTTAACTTTAAATCTATCCAAAAATAACTGGAAAGCAAAAGCTTCAACAATAGTTTTCCCAACCACAGAGGCTAAAGGGAGACTAAACTGGCAACACAACAACAAGCAGTGCAACGCTTTAATAGTCGCAAGTCAGAAAGACAAATAAACACAACTCGAAGCCAACTAAGACACACCAGTTTCTTGCCCACCACTGTGGGAATAGACCATATACGGACAATCAGTTTCTTGGCATTCCTCACAGACACGGCTCTCTGCCTGCTAGCAGACGTGC